ATAATAGCAATAATAAAAATAATCGCCCCAGCCCACAACAATTTCAAGTATCCCCCAAATAAAAGACAGAATTATAAATAATTATAACTTTACAATTTAATAATTGACACATATACTATAGTATTTACAGTATCATAAATGCTTTTTTTTTGTGTTACTTTTAGTAAGCAATCCCTGAGAACAGTTACTTTAACTTGTTTTTATTGAAGTATCTTCACAAATAGAGGAGTTTGCATGTCTCGGGCGGGCGGGAGAAGCGCTCTGCAAAGCCATCGCTTTTGGTGACGCATGAGGTTCTAGTGACGCGGGTTTCTTTGCTCGCTTTTCTCTTTTTTTTTCATTCTTTCCTTTTTTTTTTTTTTAAACTACCCACGTATTTTTAACGATTTTTGCACTTTGCAACCTTCAGATCCCTCCAGCGACCGCTTCCTTCAGGAAAGAGGTATTAGATTTCCAGGTTAGCTTTTGGTATTGGCAAGGGAGGGCAGGGGGCTGAGCGAACCATCCTTTTTCCCCGTGGTTGCCTTTTGGTTTGTGCCCAAGGAATCTCTGGATCCTCTCACATGTGTGAAATGGTTAAATCCAAGAAAGAAAAAAAAAATTAAAAAAAAAGAAAGAAAACAAACAAACAAAAAAGAAACAGAAGACCAGAACAGAGCAGCCTCTGCTGATGGGGGGAAGGTGATCTCCACTTTCCTTCCTTCTTCTCTCCCGAGTCCCCGTGCTGTGGCCAGACCCTGCTAATGAGCGTGGTGGGGGCTGGGGCTCACCCAAACCGTTCCCGCACCAGCAGCATCAGTTTTTTCTTGCCTTTGTAGATTTGTTTGAGATTGTCAATGAACTGGGCGAACTGTATGTGCCCGTCCTGTGCCAGGAGGAAGGTCTCCCTGGCCTTGCTGAGGAACTCGATGAACTCCCCGTAGTGCCGTGGGCTGATGTGGGTGAGCCGGGAGTGGGTGGTGTTGATGCGTCCAGCAGCTGCCGCAGAGGGGCTTTGTCGGTGGACATCAGCTTCCCCGAGTTCCTGCGGCCAGGGATGCCGGCCAGCCCCGGGGCCGTCATGGTGCAGCGGCGAAGGATGTCCGAGAGCACTGTGGCACAGTGCACGCTCTTCACCACCAGCGGGATGATGGCCGCCAGCTCGTTTTTGCCCAGAGAGTGGCTCAAGGCGCAGGCCCAGAGCACATCGTTGATGGCTGGGTGCGTGTCCTGGTTGTAGGCCAGGTTGAGATGCGTCATGGCCAACGAGGCTAGTTTGAATGCCCGGAGCGGGTAGCCCCGGTGCTCCATGTAGCGGGCGATGGTGAAGAGCTGGGTGTAGGTCATGCCGGTGGAGGCGGCGTCGATGACTATCTGGTAGGCGGTCTCAAAGGCGATGTGGTCCTTCTCGCAGAGGGTCAGGGCGGACAAGGCGCAGTTCTGCGGGTCCTTCATGGCGCACTGCAGGGCCAGAGTGCGGGCACAGCTGGCCAGCTCTTCCCGCTGTGGGTAGTCCAGGCTCAGGCGCAGGATGGTGTTGTGGGACATCACCGTGGCTGCCACGATGCTGGTCGCTTCCGTGGGAGTGAACAGCGAGTACCAGCTCTGCAGGATGCTCACCAAGGCCCTCACCCCTGCAAGAAAACACCGGGGTCACGGCACAGCCCTGGAGCCCGGCTCAGATCACGGGGCTGCTCTGAATCCCCAGGTGCCCGGAGCCAGGACACAGCCAGCCTGCAGCAGTGCTGAGCTGCAGCCTCTGCCAACAGGGACAGGGCAGAGGGGGACAGGCAGAGGCTGCCCTGCGCTGCCATGCAGCAGGGCACACTGAATACCGTTGGCCTGGCCCAGGTACGGGCGACCTCTCCCAGTCCTAAACCTGGCCATTGCTGTGGCCCCAGTCCTGCCAGCTGGCACTCTGAGATGCATTCAGTTACCCAGGAAGAAATGGGAGACCCAGGAGAGCTTGGATGCTCAAGGATCCTAGGATCTCTGTGCCCACCCCACTCCCACCGCTGTGGTCCGTATCCCCCGGCGTGGCGAGGCACTCACCCACTTCGGTAGCACATGTCACCAGCCACCTCACCATCTCCCGCCGACGCCAGTTGAGGGTGGACAGCGTCATGCGCATCACCTGAAAGGCAAGCTTGGGGTGACCAGCTGCCCCACAGGGCTCCAACGAGGCCACCCAGCACAGTGGTGTTCCCCAGAAATCCCTCTGGCACGGCTGGCCACCAGCTCCCAGCACTGCCTCGCCTCCACCCAAACCGCAGTGGGCACAGGGACTTCCCAGGCCTGAGCTCCCCTGCTCAGGGACGTGCAGGGATGAATTTACTCCTTCCATGGGGACCATCTGCTTGGTGAAAGACCATCACCAGTGCCACAGCCCCAGTGCATGGGGCAGACAGGCCACCAGCATCCCCAGCACCATCCCATACCTGGAGCCCCAGCCTCGCCTCCACCCAAACCGCAGTGGGCACAGGGACTTCCCAGGCCTGAGCTCCCCTGCTCAGGGACGTGCAGGGATGAATTTACTCCTTCCATGGGGACCATCTGCTTGGTGAAAGACCATCACCAGTGCCACAGCCCCAGTGCATGGGGCAGACAGGCCACCAGCATCCCCAGCACCATCCCATACCTGGAGCCCCAGCTCCAGGGCCACATTGCGCAGCGACGGCTCTGAGTTGCTGTCAGCTGGCGTGGCAATCTTGAATGCATCCTGTGCCAGCTTGAAGATCAAGGAGGAGGAATGGATGTTCTTCTGGATGGCCTCCAGCACTGTGCGTAGGCGCAGCATATCCCCTGGGTACAGGCAAGAATAGTCAGATGGCTTGGCCTCCCCTCACCTTGACCTCAAGACCCATCTCCTGCCTGCACTAGGTGGTGAATAGCCCCTTCAGCATGGTCAGCCCCTCTGGACCCGCACATGGAGGGACACTCAAGGATGCTGGATCAGAGATGCCAACGTGCCACATCAAGTCTCTCTGCCTCATTCCAGGTTCGTATTTCTGTTCCCATAGTCATAAACCGAGCAAACGAGCGTCACACGAAGAAAACCAAGTAACGCACAGCAGTGTGAAAAACCCAGTGCTGCACCTGGGCATGCAGAGCCATCTCGGGTGACTAATAGCTAAAGATATCGCCTGCCACCCACAGCAGCCGCCTGCACCGCCACCAAAGCCCAGCCCTCCCTAAGCCAGCTTGTGGGGGCGTGGGAGAGAGAGGCTGTGAGGACGCAGGATCACATCGGGACATGCTGCCGCGGGGAAACCCCCACAGAAACGGACAGTGGAAAAAAACGTACGTAATCCAACAGCCCTAAACCCCCAGCATAAAAACCTCATCCCCATTGAGGGCTGGAAGGGAGAAGAAACTACGGATAAACCAGATACCAGGTCTCCACCAGGGCACTGCAAGGCAGGAGCAGGACACCATCAGCACTGGAAAAGCAGCCAAGAGGAGGAGGGCCCGAAAGAGAGAAGATGCTGCCGAGGCAGCGAGGCTGGAGCTTTCTGACAGCTCGTTTAGCTTCCACCTCGCCGGCGAAGCGGCACCTTCCCCGCCAGGCTGGCAGCTCTGGGGTGAGGGACACAGTGGCCAGCATTAACTGCTTGGCTCGCTGGCCCTCACAGGGCATGAGCCACTCACTGGCCTGGTGGGGCTGGTTTCTGGACAGAGGGATGTTTAATGAAAAGCCCATGGTCGCCTTCATCATTGTGCCTGGGCAGGAACTGAAGAGGCCTGAGAGACGAGCGAGGAGCTGTTTTATAAGACCCTGCAGCTGGGACTCTGATGTCCCACACAGCACAGCTGTCCCCATCTCCAGCCTTGCCGAAAGCCACACTTGGTTTTGTGCGCAGGGAGGTCTTCTCCTACAGCCTGTGCAAGACTATCACCACAGGGCAGGAGGAGACAAAGCAGAGGCAAAAGGAGAAGCAGCTTCAAACTAAACCATGGCATGAACCCACAACACTTGGGGTGTTGACCCTTTGGGCCAAGAGCCCTGGAGATCCTGGACTCTGCGGGCTGCTCTGAAGCCAGGGCACTCTGCCCTGCCTGTGGTGGTCTGCCAGTGGGGCACCTCGCCAGTCTCTGCCACTGCTCAAGGGAGCAGAAGCAGGAGCTCCCTCTTTTCTTGAGGAAAACCCCTTCAATGCTCTCATGCAGCACTGTCCCAACACCCCTGTGTCCCAGAGCTGTCCCCTCACCAACCTTTGGCTGCCGTGAGCATGGTGGAGGCCAGCTCGCACTGCTGAGACTCCAGATGCCCCAGGGTGAACCAGCGTGGGTATCTGCTGGGGACTACTGAGACCAGGTGGTGAGGGTGGGTCACATCGCCAGACGGTGCTGTGGTCTCCAGGACAGGCAACCTGGAGGGCAAATGTAAGAAGGCAACATCAGAGCTCAGCCTAACCTTGGCTTCAGCCCCTCTCCCTGAGGTGCTGGTGAGGTAAGGTAGGAGCTGCCTGCAGGCAGCTGCCTGCAGTGCTGCCTTTGAAAGCATCCTGCTGCTGTGCACGTGTGGGGGCTCCCAAGGCTGTGTGCTCAACACGCGGGCACCAGGATCAACGCGAGAGAGCAACTTGAAAGGAGGAGAATGATCCATGAAGTGATTTATAAACTTGTAAGGAAAAGCACAAGCCTCAGGGGAAAAAAAAAAAAAAAAATTAAAAAAAATTTTAAAAAGGCAAAATCCCTCTTCCCTCCCTGCTCCTTTCATGTCAGAGCACCCGGCAGAACTCCTGCCTTTATTATCTGGTTCTCTTTAAAACGCCTGGTTGGGATCAGAAGCAGCATTTCCTCAGGGCCTCTGCAGCCGGTTTGGGTTACCTGCTTTTGTGGGGATATCTACAAGCCTGCAAAACCCAGGGGAGAAGTTGTCTAAGGAAGAGGAGCAGGAGTCTCATGTTGCCAGCCATGGTGATAAAACCATGCTGGCTCTTAAATCCATGACCTGGTGCTGGTGTTACTAACTCAGTGGCCAGCCAAGGCATGCAGGAGGGAAAAAATGTCCTCGCAGACACGGAAAGCATCCCATCCTCTCTGCTTTCTTCACTCACAAGCCTGGGGTACCCATGGGGCAGCAGAAGCCCAACCTGCCCAGCCCAGGTCAGAGACACCCTGATAGAGCAGGTCCCAGCTGGGAGAAGGGGACAGGCACTAACACATCGTGAGGGAGCAATTCGCATCACGGTGGGTCTGGTGGGGCACAGTGTCCCCACACAATGCGGAGGCCCTTGGCCCTGTCCTGAGCAGCTCTTCCTAGGGCAGGGGATTTTAAAATTTCCCTCTGTGTTGGGGAGACAGCTCATTTCACTGAGGAAATGCTGCAAGAAAGGTGGTGTCAGAGGGAGAAAGCACTGAGGTGCTCTGGGTTTGACAGTCCTTCAAGCACGAACTCATTTGGGAAATCCCATCCTTTTCAAGTCGCATCCAGCCCCTGGCAGATAACTGCAGTACCCAGGCTGATGTCTGAGGTGTGTCATGCACTGGGGACGGAGATGGGGCAGCTCTTGGCATAGGCCCTGTCCCTAGTCACAGAGACAGAGCTGGGCTTTAATGGAGGACAGAGTGTGACTGCGCTCTCTGCCCAGCTCTGCAACATCCTGGAGCCCAGGGCAAATCTTCTGCCCATCTGTGCAGGGATAACAGCCCTTCCTGTGGGCAGGGAGGGCTGCAGGGTGGCTGAGGCCTGGCAGACAGAAGGCAGATGACAGCACTGTGACTGCCTGGGATCTGCTCCGTTGGAGGACAGCAGTCACCAGGACAGGCTGGTGGTGGTCCAGCCTTGGGTGAGGGCTGGGCAGAAGGCTGGACCAGCAGATGTTACTAGGCCCATGCAAATCCCTGCGGATGAGGCTTGAAAACCAGGAATTGCCCAAATAAGAGAGCAGGAGTCTCCCTGCACTGTTGCTTGGTGCCTGGGCAGCCCTACACGTTGCACAGGATGATCCCAGGGATGTCAAGCTCCAAGCCTGCTTCCACTCCTATCCCTGCTATAGGGTTGCAAAGCATCCCAGCTTCCTGGTGGATTAGAGGAGGGAGGCAAAACAGGGGGCAGAGAAGGAATAAAACATGCACCAACCTCATGGCCCGCAAAGCCAGCTTGTACGCCAGGTCTGCATCGTGGGGCAGCAGGGCAGAGAACAGGTATTTGGCAAAGGTGTGCATGGGGACACTCTCGCGGTGGATGACTTCTCCCAAGCCGCTGAAGGGACCACCTAGGCATAAGCAGAGCCCATCAGCCATAATAAGCACAACGGGATCTGTGTCTAGGTTTTGCACTACTCCAAAGCTTTGAGGATCTGCTCAGCAGCTCCCTGGTGCATTAGTCAAGTTGATCCAGAAAGAAGGCTGCTCTTTCCTTTTCTAAAAATGCTTTCAGGTCAAAATGCTTTAAGCACTCTTCTCTGTCGTGCCTCTGAGGTGGTCTAAGGCCAGGGAAGTCAGCAAACCCTTGGTTTGCCAGATGATGGGGCAGAGCAGCCATCTTACAGGTTTAGCACCCCACTCACAAGAGGAAGAAGCCAGGATGGGGTCAGCCAGGCATAAATTTTGGAAAGGGCGCCCCAAAGATGTTACCAACACTGAGCTGAGACACAGAAGCCAGGTAGATGAACCAAGCCCCCACCTTCCAGCAGCAAGATACACTGCTTCCGCAGGGTCTGCACCAGCACCGGGTCCAGCTCCAGGTCCTGCAGCCGGGCAATGATCTGCTCCTCGTTGCGGCACACCTTGTCTTGGGCATAGAGACCTTCAGGCATCACTCTCTGCTGACCCATCCCCATCAGGGCCACCTCTAAGGCCAGGGACAGGTAGGACTCGCCACTGTCTTGGCTGCCAGTTGCAACGGGCACGTGTTGGTACACTGGGGGTTTGGAGTCTCCAGCATCTGGAAGAAGTGGGAAAAGTTAACACAGCAGGGTTAGAAGAGGCTTTCTAAGTGGCAGAATCACAGCAGAGAGAAAATGTCTCAATTCAGAAGCAAGACCCACATTTCCCTTGCTGCCAGCCTTCAGTCACCCGGAGATGATACATAAAACCTCCCTGTCGGAGAAGTGGGCTTCACCCTCCTTCCTGCTCTCACCAGGAGATGCCTAGCACCTGAGACCTGTGCACCAGGGTGCACAGCTGACACCAGAGCCTTCCTGTGGGCCAGCACGCCCCGGGCCAGCTCTACTAAGCCACACTCCCGCTCTGCTTTGGCTGCAAAAAGCAGGCTGGGAAAACTGGACACTAACTCCACACTGCAGATCTGACTTGACTGCTCCTGCAAAGGTGGAGATTCAGAGCCCAGGAGTCCCAAGCCCCCAGACCTGCACTCAGGGTCTGCCCAATGGGCTTGGTTCAGCCACAACCACTGGGAAAAAGGCCAGGAGGAGTGACTGGTACCTGAAATTTCAAGGCAATTTTCCTCTTCTAATCTACAAGCTTCCGTCAGGGTGAGAAAGAGGCAGCCAATGGGGTTCAGAGGGTGGCCTACCCAGCCCTCCAAGTTGGTGATGGTTGTTGCTCCTCGCTGCAGCAGCTCTGAAAAATAAAATAAAAAAAAACAAAAAACAAACAAAATAGAAATACAGTAGAAGTGAGGAACTGAAAGACAGGTTCTCACCCACAGGCATCTCTGAAACCAGAGGCCTTTTCTTACCCCACGGCCTGGGACATGGGGACTTCCAGGGCCAACTCTGGCACGAGGGCAATGAGCAGCTCAGAGCAGCCACAGACATCAGAGAGAGCAGGCATCTGACAAAAAAAAAAGGCACTCCCAAGGCCACATAAGATAAAGTGGCTTGTTCTCTGTTCCAGGACATGAGGGACTGCTAAGTCCCAAGATAGGGTCAATGAAGTCAGACCTGCAGGCTACTCATTTGCAATGGTAGCCTAAACATCTTGGAAACACAAGCAGAAATCTCTCTGGATATGACAAAGACTCCCAGGGAATCTTAAAAGCTCCATCTTCTGATGATCTCAAGCTGTCTGAGCTAGTGAGCTTCAGGAGTCACTGATCACCAACAGCACTGCAGTAATTGACCCCAGCTCCCTCTCAACTGCAATTGCAAAAGGAGAAGCATGGGGCTTGCCTCCTGGTACCATTTACTCAGCAAATCCAAGGTGGAGGTAGCACACACAGCCAGTTGCTGCAGCTCTGCAGACAAGCAGCTCTTCTTGACCGCAGGCACCACTTGCCTGTGCAGCCCTTACAGGCAACCAGACACAGCAGCAGTGGGAACAAGAACATCGCTAGTCCAGCAGCCTGAAGGCAGCACGTGGACACCTCTGTCCTTAGCATGTGGGTACCAGTGCAGTTTGGCTCAAGCAGTCAGATGCATCAGTTTGTCTTTCTGGGTGTAATATCATACACCACTGCCCAACACCACCATCTGCCATACTGGATAGGGCAGCACTACTCTCTGAGGTGGAGATGACTTTCTCAACCAGCTAGGACATCCCAGCCAGTCCTCACAAGACACTTCTCCTGTAGCTCTACTCTTACCTTTCTTCTGATGCTTATATATTTCCAGCTGCCTTTGCTGCTGCAGTCGCAGGGTGTTGATTATGGCAACAGTTAGTCGGAGAGCTTCTCTGGGATAGCCGTGGGAGCGCAGGGCATCCACCCGAGCACAGGCTGTGGGGACGTGTTCTGCAACACAAGGACAAACACGGGGGCATGGCTCAGCCAGAGCAGCACAGAAATTTATGGGATGGCACTGATGGGAGAGGACAAATTGATGGCATCAGGCTTCAAGGCGTTTTCTTCTACTTATCTGTCATGGTTACAGGGGCTGGGACCAGTTTATCCTTATGTGGGTAGAACCAAAAACTGTGTATTCTATACTCTCTATGTCAGTGCTCATGGGCTGTTAAGAAAATCATGGGTAGCAGCTGCCCAGGACAGACCTCACACCCCGGGCTATAACAGATAAGGAAAGAGGTTCAAGGTCAGGGGAGATGTTAACACCTTCCCACCCAGCAGGAGGAGTCCTCCCTGTTAATGGGCCCATCCATGCCTCGCCCCATGACTCATACAGAGCTCCCCCCAGGAGCTATTTCTGTTTAATGGACCATCAAGGACCCATTGCATGACTCATAGACTGATATCAACCCATTGGGAGATGCTCCACCCAGGGGGAGGAGCCAAGTGCTCCCACCTGGATATAAACTGGGGTTCAGTACAGCACGGGGGGCCTTACCCACTGGATTTCCAGAGGACAAGAGCTACCAGATCTTTTCTACGAGACCACTGTTTCATCTGGACTGCTACCACCACCCTAACTGCAGAGTATCAGGTTGTATTGTGGCTCTGTCTGTGGTTTTCCTTTGTATTATTGCTTTTATTTTTTTCTTATTAAATTGTATTTCTGACTTGGAGTCTCTCACTGGTTTGTTTTCAAACCATTACATTATCTTCCCCATACCATAGCTAAACTCCCGCTCCTTGCCTTGAATTCATCCCTTTCTCTCTGCTCCTGGCAGGGTTGCCTACCAGAAATACTAACAGGACTCCTACCACGTTAAACACACAGCAGCCACATCAGTATCTAAATCCCCACCTCCAGAAACCTTACCTAGTGGAAGCATTTCCAACACACCATTGCTGCAATACAACAGCCCCAAACACAGGCTGTTACAGCCCCGCCGCTCACTCCTCCTAAAACCTGCACGGTTTATGGCAATTCCTTTCACTGCTCTGCACCTAAACCCTTCTTTGTGTCTCCCCCAACATCTCTCCCCGCTCTCTGCAAAGATGATGATACATGGTGTGAGGCCATGCATCCAGCACTGATCTGAGGTGATGCTTTGAATTGCTTCCTTAACGGCTCCACGGAGCGAGCTCCGCAGACACCTCATCTCTTCTGCAGCTCTCCTACCTGGTGTTTTATTATTAGGAACAGTTGCATGAAACCCCCTCCAAGACTCACAGTTGCTTAGGAATTCATCTGCTCCTGCTGCTCGTTGCTCACCTGAAATCACAAGCAACTGTGGAGAGGATTATGACTGAGTGAGAAATTAGCAGGAGCAGATGACATGACATGCCGCATAACAAGCAGCAAAAATCTCATTTTCTTTCAAAATGTCCTACCAAGTTCGGGGGGGGAAAGACAAACACGGAAGATCTAAAATTATGGTAGAGGGATAATTTCTATTCCTGGAAGAGCTCAGAAAGCTTTGGAAATTCAGACAACCACCTCCACAAATGGTGTTTCACATCCCAAAGGTCATCCGCAAGGAATCCGCAAGGAATACACAAGGAAGAGGTTTCAGAACAAACAAATCTGTAAAAGAGCTTCTTGTTCCTCCCTTTATTCATTTGCTAAATGGATGAAATATTCAGCTTCTTGCTGAATTCACCACTGGAAGTTGCTGACAAATCAGACTCTTCTCCCAGCACTGAGCTCCTGATGGGGTGCCAAGAAAGCAAAAGCACAAAATCCAAAAATCACAGCAAATACATCACAAAAATAACGTGGACCAACCAGCTGGCTCACGAGAACCCAGATTTATGCTAGGGACAGGGGAGCTGTGGCCAGCAAATCCATGGAAACATTAACCCAGCACCACTGCCTGTGTCTGTGTGGGGAGGAGATCTGCTGTCTGCAGCTACACAAAACTCTTCCCCCAGTAGAAATGTCCTCTTCTGCTCCAGCTAAGCTCACAGAGGTGTACCAGCAGCCTTCACATGGGCCCTTTTTAACTTATCTCTTGGCCTTAAGAGCAACCTAGTGTCTGCTGCTCCAGAAATCACGTCTCTGGATGATCTAAAAGGTTCTCTTCCTTTGGCTGGGTGATGGGAGACCCCAGCTCCTGGAATGGATGACAGTGCAGTGGTTTGACCTGTTCCATGTCTGTACATTCATCTCTTGGGCTGTAGCAATGAAGCATTCACCCTCTTGTAGGTGTGGGGAGCTTGCATCTCCCATTTTGGGGTCAGTTTGAGGGCTGACAGCCACACCAGGCAACCCCCCCAAGCCCTTCACCTCACTCAGTCTCTTTCCAGAGATGTAGTTGTTGAGGGTCTGAAGATCTGCCCCAGGCTGTGACTTTGCAGTAGGGAAGTTGTGTAGCTTGAGGTACACAGACTAAAAGGCTACAACATAGGAGGGTACTGGGCTTGACTGGTCCAGTATTCCTTAAGCTCATACAAGGCTCAATTGTACTGTCTGCTAAGAACCTTTAAATGAAGACTAAAAAGACGGTGAGAGCAGGGAAGGAAAAAAAAAACCCCAGAGGATACAGCTGTGCTCCCCAGCCAGACTTTTAAGTGTCCAATCCTTCTTGCACTGAGACAGCCAAAGACTGGCAGGGTGACATGATAAAACAAGCCTGATCCAAGGGGAACATCTGTAAAGATGTGGGGAGGACTGTCACTGGTGTGTGGGAGGGCATCAAGCTCTTCTGCTGAGCCTGCTCCTCATGCTAAGGGCCAGGGAGGCACTTTCAATCTGGGATGCAAAACATTTCAAGGACCCACAGTAGCAAAGCTTCTTTTATACCTTGGGTGGCTCTTCTCCACTAGCAACCTTACCCACGCGGGCAACGCAAGGGGCTGCTGGTTGGATGCTCACCGAGCCACAGCGGCTGCCCCTGGGAGTTGAAGAGGAGGCTCTCGCCCTCCCGCTGGTAGGAGGGAGACACGTAGAAGTCACTGCTAATGATGCGCTGCAGGTGGCTGTCCTGCCAGTGGAGGTCACAGCCCTCGATCGCCCGGGTGAACACGGTTCGTCTGGGCCTGGCCAGCGAGTCTGCAGAGAGAAAAACCATCAGTGCCTTGGTGGGGCAGCAGCCCCCAGACATGACCTCCCTGGGCAGAGCAATGTCACTGAACCACATCTGCTTACATCAGCAGCCCCTAAAACTCTGGAGGGACCTGCATGCTGCCTCTGGGCAATGGTGGGAATCAACCCCTTCCAGCTGTATGAGAGGGCTGAAGGGAAGAGATGGCATCATCTGAAACCCCACCACTGCTCTGCGGCAGATGTCTGTGCTCCTCTTCAGAGCTGCCTTGTAACTTCACTGACATTTTTGAAGCTACGGAACACTGGAAGAGCTTTTCACTCCGTCCAGGCAGATCAGACAAATGGTTTGTTGAGAGCAGAAGGCCTGTCTGGACCACTCCTGCTATTGCTCCAGCCATGACAGATCACGAAGGCCAAACACTACCAGCAGGTTGCGAAACAGGAAGCCCCAGGGGGGATGGAATGCTCAATGTTAGGCCCTGCAACCTGCAAGATGGGCCAAGTTAAACGCCTTCAAAGGGGAAAAACAAAAGACACTGTTCAAAGCTGATCCAGGAAGGCTGGATAAACATGCTCCGGAAACGACGGCAACAAGTAATTAGCCTGAATGCTGCAGGCACCCTGAGGTGGAGAGAAATTAAACAGGTGTTCTATGTAGAGAACCAAGCCTGCTCACTTCACCAGGATGGGTTTCAGGAATCAGCCGTTCCTCTTTCAGTAATAAAAGGGGCTGGAAACGACCTGCAGCAGTATTTGCATGTGCACGAACATTAACTCCAGGGTCCATGCTGCTTTCAGTCCCCTGCTCAGAGAGGCAGGAGCATGGGGACAAGGGAACGTCCCTGGCACGCACTTCAGAAACTCCCTGTGCCTTTAGAAAATGTGACTGCTCAGCTGCAACAACCTGCCCCAAATGCCAGAGCGAATCCTCGGCGGAGCTGGGAACACCACAGGGGAGTCCCAGGGCTGGCGCAGGACATGGAGCAAGGCCAGGTTTAAATTAAGCTTCGCCCCGAAGATGCGCACGGGGAGGCAGCTGGGGCACACGGTCCCGGCCGTAGCAGGACGGCCACGTTCCCGGACCGCTGCCGATGGACTAATCCCACCTAGAAGAGTGAAATTTCCTCAACGGCACAACTGCCTTCTCTCTCTCCTCTTCCCACCTTGGCCACACATAATATACCAAAGAGCAATTCCAGTGCGGCAGACGGTAAGAGTAGTAACTTTCAATTAATGTCTACTTCTGGCAAAAGGAAGGGGGAAAGTGTTTAAATTTAAAGGGATGAAGTGCTTTGTCAGGGGTTGAGAAAATATTTTAGTGCAAAGGAACAACCCCATAACTACAGTGCTCTATTTTTGCTCTGCACTTGAACCACGTTTAACATTCCTGGCTAATGACTTATCTACTGTCTGAATCAAAGCCCAAGAGCAAGGCTCAAGGGCTGGGAAAGGGGCTTTGCATCATCTTCAACTCCCCACTCTCACATTACAGCCAGGGCTTCAGAGATCAGCTCTGCTTCAGTTCAAGTGGTGATGGTTTTCTGCAAAATTCCATAACCAAACCTGCATAGACTTTAGGGGTCTAAACTCTCCCAAGGTCAAATCGCCTTAAAATGGCCTCTAATCTGATGCTTAAAATACAGAGACTTCAACAAACACATAGCAAAGAGCCAAACATTTCCAAGCGTATCTAAAACCAGACACTGTAAGAAGAAATGTTTTGTATTCCGTGACTCCCAGAGACATCACCAGCAGGGGATCTGTGGTCTCTCAACTTCGGGGCAAGTTTTGACCTGGACCCAAGCCCTATGGCCACCAGGTGGATTTCCACTCCCTGCCCTGACTCACCTTGGCTGTGACCGGAGCTCTGCGTAAGCGCATTGGTGATGTTGGGAAGCTCGTTACCGTAATTGCCATCTTCCAGGGGACAGACGTCCATCTCGCCCCACTTGCGCAGCTGCCGGAGCCAGCAGGATTTCTCTTCCAGCTTGCAGTGCGGGTTTAACACCACGCACACCCACAGTGCCCCTAAACAAAGCCAAGAAATCAAGGAGGTACCACCACCATACCCATGGGGCAAAGCTCTTCTGCTGCCGCACTCGTGGCGAGAGCCTGCAAGGTTTCATTGGCGTTCATAAACTCATTTCAGCATAATGCACAGACCCAGGAGGGGGATTTAGATAGCTTTTAAATAAAAGTAAAACTCCTCTGTAATGAAGCTAAATTATAATCTCATGAGATGGGGGACAGTGAGGAGGAGGGAAGGATAGAGCGACTGTGTATGAATTTGTGAGTGCTTCTGTCTGCCAGGACAAATCTAGTGTTTGAACTACACATCAAAAGCATGCTTAAAAACACCCTGGCAAGCTGCAGAGTCTGTATCTCCAAAGACTAACCTGATTTTGATCCTACCCACGTTCCAAGTGCTTTAAAGCCCGCTCCAAATGCTATTTCATCTGCCATTGTTCTTCAGGCCATTTGCATTCAACTATTTAAAAAGGAGATTTGGTGTATTTTCTTCCCTTTTTTTTTTCTTTCTCTTTTTTAATCCTCAGTAGACCTCAGCCTGCAGAGGAACCAGCAGAGGAATCTGGAGCTTGGCTTGATGTCTTGCGGGCAAGAGCCATTCAATGTGCAAGCCCTCCAGATCTCGCAAGCAGAGGTGTCCATCAGTAGGACGTCCATGCTGACACCCTCTGGGTCAACCATGGGACCTCACAGGCCTGGCAATGCTGTCTGCTGCTTGAGAGGCAAAACCAGGCCCAAGGACATCTGTCATCATTAAGATCCGTTTCATCATTTCACAAGACAGGGCTGACGCTGGTGCTGCTAACTGAGCCTTGCTGACTCTCCTGGGTCAGTCACAGCTCTGAAAATGGCTACAGCAAACCAAAAACAAATAAAAATCCATGAATTCTCCTTTAGCTAATTGCATTTCTGCCCAAAATTCCCTGCAAGGCTGTCAGGATACAGCACGTGCCCTCCCTCGTGTCTGCCCCACGGGTTGGGATGGCTGCATGCTGACAGAAACACCTTCCCTGTCTCTTCCATGGGTCCAGCAGAGGCCTGGAGCACCTACCGAGAAGCCCAGCCAGCTGCTCTCCCCTACCTCTCCACCACTCCTAGAGCCAAAGTTCCCATCCCAGAGTGACAGCCAGCAGCAGGACAACATCACCCGACACGGCACCGCTGTGTGCCGAAGGGATTCCTCCACGTGTGCAAACCACCTCCCTCGCCGGCTGCTTCGTGTGGCAGCTCCTGGGCTGCGCAGCCACGCCGCCGGGGCAAACAGCCCCAAGCCAGGTGGCAACTCAGGCAGACGGAGCAGCTGCTCCCTTTTTCAGGCAGCGTGAGGCAAAACCAGGCTCAGCAGCCACGTTCTGACTCCAGCTCCACTATGATGTCTCCCCATTCCTCTGGGTTACAGCTGAGCTTCAGTGGTGCTTTTGGGGTGCATCTCCTGGGACCTGTCCTCTGTGAGTTGGGACTTACGGACATGTTTTGTTCAAATCATCAATAAAGCATAGAGGCTGTGCACATCCAGCTCCTCACAGTGGTTTGGCTCAGCAGGAGAGACGTCATGGCGTTACAATGCAGCAGCATCACATCCAGGAATGAGCACAAGGAAAGCAACTGCAGGCACTGAAGATCAGCAAATACTCAAAGCAGCCCTCACCTGGTCCAGCTCCATCCATGTTTCAGCTCCACTGCTCCCAGGAAACCCCACTGAATCCCCAACTCCTTTCTGATGAACAGGGAAGAATAAGACTTTTGAGCTGCAACATCAGCAGTTAAGAGCTATCTCCTATGGGGCTTTTGGAGCCCACCCCTCCCACAGCAGGTCTGTCACTCTCTCTCTCCCAGGCTCCTGCAGGCTGCATGGACATGGTGTCTGAAAACAATCAGGTCTCAGCTCCAGAAAAGGAGTCTTCCTTAACACTCTGGTTACTATCCCTAAGCAGAGCAATGGGCATGTGCCCACTACCACTCTGAAGGCATAAAACTCCGCAACTCCTCAGGCAGCTGTGGCTCCAGCTGGTTTCGGGCACCCCCTCCCCACCAGTGCTCCCTGCCTGTTGTCACTGCCCCTCTTCGCCCGCTCCGGGGCTGCTTGTGCAAAGAGCAGCCTCTGGGAATTTTGGCTCGCGGCCCTGAGGCGCAGAGAGCAGCTCGGCTGATGGGCAGTAAGGAGGCTCGGTGCTTCGGCTCTGCCACCCCCTGGAACAGGATATGCCCGTTGGATTTTTTGGCTCCCACAGCTCGGCTAAGATGCAATCCTCAGAAGCCTCATGACTTTGCAGCCTATTTTTGAGAGCCCTCCAAGGCATCCTTTGCCTGCCAAAATGCTGTGCCTCTGGCCTCTCCTGCAGAAGGGATGATATGGCGGGGAGGTGGGAGCAAGGAGGCAAGAGGGATTCACATCTGTCTCAGCCACAACAGTTATCTGGCAGATGGAAAAGGGAGGTTTTCTGAGCCCTGTGGTCAAGTGACATCAGCTGACAGCACAAGTGACTCCTGTCCTGAGCCGGAACGCCACGCTGGGTCAGACTCCGTGTCTGTTCATATGCTGCAGAATCCTTCATCTGAACTTTCCGATAGCAGGAGGTTAAGCGGGGAACAAAGCGGCAGATCACGATTAAGCTAAGCCTCTAAACAAAAATGCTTTTTGATGAGAGGGCTGGGTGCAGGGGCCGGGGAGGGCTGGAGCCTTCCCAGCCCAGCAGTCCCGGCTGCCGGCCCCAGAGAGGACAGGAACTCCGATCCCGCGCCCAAGTTTCCAAACCATCAAAGAAATTCTCTGGTTTCCCACAGGGTCGCTCCCCAGCTTAATCTGCTGAAATTCCCCACTGTAAACAAGTGGCCGAGATAAATAAACCCGTCTCCAGGCAGATTAAGGTCAGGCTGCACTTCAGCTGGTTTTTCGTCTATTTTTTGTAATTAGGCTTTAATCGTAAGTACTAATACGCCAGGGCAAATACTCCCACGCCGCAGAGCTCTCCATCCAACAGGTCCTTCCTTTGGTTCCCCAGCAGACGGGGCAATAGATGCTCAGTTGGCAGCACACGCGCAAGCAAACGATGCCCTTTTTATTTTAATTTTTTTTTTTTTTTTAAAACTCTGAAATCCTGCAAAATCCTTTACATTTTCCCCAGCATAAATCCACAATCTTCTTTAAGGCTGATCTTCTTCCAATCCCATGCAAGCCTGTGATGCATTCTTTACTAAAATCAATGATTAATTATTAAACACGTACCCAAAATAATTTCTGTGAGGCCTATTTTTCTCCTCTACATGGCAGGGGGATGCAGTCTGTGCCGGGGCTTCCCACGGCAGCTGGCAACAGGCCCCTCACCCTTCCCTTTGGCAGAAGTGGTAACATTGGGCAGCTTTGGCATCTGCAGCCCACAGGCAGTCAGACAACGTGCCTTCACTACTCCACATGCCCCAGCTACCATGACCCACCCAGTGGTGGTTTGAGACATCTTCCCACATTGCTGATGTTCATCACTGGTGAACACCAACTCACTGCAGCTCTGGTCCCTCTGTCACTCTACCCTTCCTTCAGTGGGATGCTCTGTTCCTATAGCAAATGCTGCCCAGCTCCAAATCCAGCAGGCTTCTGCAAGATGGGGAATAATCCCTGCTCCGAGTATAGTCCATACCCATCCTACCCTGAAGCCGCTTCTTGTACCACCACCATATCCTCTGTAGGAGTTTCTCTTCAGCATGGAGATGCCCAGACCTTCCCACGTGACGTGCCTATGGCAGGTGAGCCGCTTGCTCTGACGTACACTGGCTGGCACCACACTTTATCTGCTGTCACGCTGATCCAGCCTTGGTAGGGCCCTGATGTCCCCCAGCCACCTTGCCATCTGCTGATGGGAACGTGCTGCCACCTCCTCCCACTCTGCCAAGCAAAACTACACGCACAAACCTGGTCCTTGCATGGTTAAGCCAGGTCTGAAACCCAACCACTCCCCCTCCGTGTGTGCAGGAAGGCACGAAGGGCTCTCAGCTTGGACAGTGGGTTCGAAATCTGGCCAAATAATCTGTAATTCATTTTTTTTTGTGTCCAGGCCTGCCCAGACACCCACCCATCCACGTTTCACCTGTATTTGCTTTCTTCCTTGTGGAAATTCTGGCTTGGTGGATTTGTCTCTCCAGTATCTTTGCATATCCAGCCACCTAGCCACACCATCCCAAAATCCTGGAAATATCTTCTTGGCAAGTAGGCATAGATGAGCTCTCCAGAGCCAGTGTGTTTATTTCCATCCAGAACGCTTCACACAGCAGCAAGATATCCCACCCCTGCCCCAGCCCTGGTCTGTGCAGTTTGGCCAGGCTCTCTGGTCTCACAGCTAGGTTTGTATTTGTTGGCCACTCGGTTGGAGGGTCTGTGATCCCAGCTGCAGCTTCAGCTGCTCCAGACCCTGCACAACTCTCATCCTCCTTCGAGCTCTACAATATCCCTTTCATCCCAGCCCATGAACCCTGGCCCTTACACAGCACCTCCTACCAGCAGGCTGCAGAAAAGCTCAAACTCACAAATGAAACTATGGCACAAGTCATTCAGCCAAGATCCCAGGTGACCAGGAGAGTCCAGAACTACTAGGTTAACTCCACCACACAACCAACCTCCCTTGGCCTACGTCATCTAAATGTTTTATTCTAATGATATTATGGTGTCAGCCAGCTGAGCTGGTGTCTAAGATGCTTAGCTAGAATTACCCAGAACTGCATTTCCTTTAAAGCCAGGCTCTGTATTGGCCATCCTGTCCCCCTCGTCCTGGAAACGTGCACCAGAGCAGGCAGAGATCTGTTAGACAGGCTGAGACTTGAAAACTTGCCTTTCTCTCTCTGAATCGTGGTTCCTCCAGGAACAGCACTTCCATATCCAGGCTATGTCCAGCCCCTAGGGCTCAAGAGCCCATGTCCTCCCTCACAAAGGCTTCAGGACAGCCCACTAAACATCAGGCTGCTGAAGTACAGGCAGGACCCTCCGCATGATGCACACCTATCATCCCTGGCCCCTTTGCAGGACAGGGGCAGGTTTAAGGCGTTGAACCGTGAAGTTTGGGCCTGATCCAGCTATCTCACCACAATTTCCCCAGCAGGTGACAGAGTAGCTCCTGGCATGTCTTGGGGTCTCCACCCCCAGAAGAGAGCCCCAAAGACCTCTGGGACAATGTCTGCTGGCTCAGCAGCCCAGGCAACCCTGCTGCTGCTCTCTGCAAGGCAGTGACCCTTACCCAGCTCATCCCAGAGCTGCCGGCACTTCTCTGTTATGCCCGTCCCCTGCTGCCTCCAGAGGGAGAGCCGAGGATCGGCCATGAACTGCTCTGTGATCAGCGTCAGCATCCTGGCCCCGTTGGAGTCTCTCATGCGCAGCATCTCCCGGACCTGGAAAGGACAGACAAGCCACGGTCACTCAGAGGTGTTTTAGACAAGGTCACTTAGCTGGCAATGCGCAGCTCCCTCAATCTCAGGGTCAAGACTGTAAATATATACATGTATATGTGTGTATGAGGTACAGTAATACATTAGAACACACACACAATAGCTGTGACGTGGCTAGTTGGAGTCCAGCTGAGCAGCAGCCACAACCTAGGCTGTGAAGAGGACCAAGAGATAAAGAACACAACAACAAGGCCCTTCTGCAAAGGAAGGGAAGAGCCTGTAGGCTGGTGCCACCTCTCCATGGTCTCGGTAGGCTCTGCAGGGTTGGCCTTCCTCCCACCGTGTTGATGGGGAGACAGGGGAAAGCCCTCTCTCACACAGGGACCACAGTGAGCCCAGTGCGTGGGAGAAAGGGACCTGCCAGGAGAGCAAGTGAGACAACCCAGGCCTGACCCAGAGCCTGGATTACAACCTCCTGCTCCGCGACCGGGCGAGAAGGCACTGGAGCAGAGATTCCCAGCTGTGACGGGCACCTTGCCAGGGCGGCCGGCGAGCTGCCGGCTACGTGACACACTGAGCAGAGAGGGGAGAGAGCAGCCGGCTCCTCCTCACCTTGGCAAACATGGAGTTGAGCTGCTTCCCCGAACCGTAGTACCCTCCCTGAGATAGGAACAGCTTCACCTGCTCTCGGACCTGTTCCTCATCCAAGTGCCAGCAGTTCTCATCGTCAATGCTGGCCCCAGCAGTGGGATCGGGAGCACCTGAAGGGACAGGGAAGGAGAAGAAAAGTGACAACTATGTTTACAGCAGCATGGTCAGCAAGTTTCATCAGTAAGAGGTGAACCTACCTCTATTTTATATGGACCCACCTCTGTTTTTTCAGCTCAGGTGAGGGAAAACCAACCAGGTTCCCAAGCAGTGACCCCAGCTGGCAGCATCATGCTCTCTTTCCACGGTGGTGGCAGCAGATGCCAGAAAGGACCTGACCACAGGGCTAATACCTAGCCCCTCTCCCCCTGTGCCCCATGTGAAGTGAGGCTAAGGAAAAGCAGGGACCTGGCCTCCTCCAAAGTCCCCGGGGTACAGGCAGTACAGCTGCAGAGCCCGGAGCACTCCCTGGCTCCAGGGATCGCCTGAGGTGCTCCTCCTCCTCCTCCACATCACTGGTTTCTCTAAGCATCAGTAAAGCTCCAATTCCTACGAGCTCTTCCCCATGTTAGGAACACTCTAACAGAGGTACCACTGCACAGGGGCTCCAGAGCGCCAGCTTAAGTGAGAGACCCTTGCCTCTCAATTGTTTTAGGACAAGGGAGAAGTCCCTGTGCATGAGTGTACCTGCCTGGGAGATATCCTCTGCTGGAAAGAGTAAAGGAACAATAACCCTTCAAAGAGCAACCTATGACCAGAGCATAGCCTTTGGCAGGCACACACGTGTGTTCACAGACCGGATCTCATCTTCTAGAATTAAAAAAAGCCACAAGTGCTTTAAAGAGCAGTCTGGATCCACCTCCTTTTGTCTTGCTCCTTTCAAATCCCACTTTTCCCCCACAAGCACTGCCCTACCTCCTCCCAGCAATGCCCCAGCTTCCCAGGCTCATGGGGCACACAGCAGCACAGCTCCAGCAAGTAGTCAGGAGTGCAAAAGGGAAAGAAACTCAGCTCTTCAGCTCCCTGCTTTTGGGTCCCACTCCACAGAAACTCCTATGGGGATACCAATGCCAAGGAGGGACTGGTGCATTTGAAGGATGCTCTGTGCTACTTTGGTCTCCTTCTCCCATCTTGTCTCTCTCTCAAACAAGGAAGGGGATCAGCGTGAAAAGAGCATGGTGCTGCACCGACAGCCAAGGGATGCTGTAGCTGACACATTCCAAATTAAATCTTAACAATGCCTTCCTAACTCGACTGGGATCTGGCTAGGGAGCAGACACTGCTTTCATGCAGAGAACAGCTCGGGGTTGCTGAACCAGGAGCTCAAATGCAATTCATGGAAATCAAGCTCCAGGATGCCTGCTCAGCAGGGCAACTGTCTCTTCACGGCTTGTAAACGAGAGGACATCAACCCGAGGGGTTTTACTCCTCCAGCAAAGGCTGAGAATGCTCTTGACCCGTTAAGATAGAGCTATTTGTATTTAATGTCCTTTACAAAATTTCTTTAATTTCTGCTAACAGTCGCTGCCCAAAAGCAGTTCCAGCAAGCTCGAGGCACAGCCTGCACCATGCTGAAGGGACAGGATGCTGCTGCTCTTTCTGTGGAATAATTCCTCGCAACACAGCCATGTAATTGGGACAGGAGCTGAAACAGCAGAAAGAAAATCACAGCCCTTGAATGAGCGCGAGGACTTTTGCCTGCAGCCCTGCATGTACCCTGATCCCGCTCTCCTGCCACTGGTGGCCATGCCCTGCCATAAGCCAGGAGGGACCACCACACCAGGGACAGTCCATCCCAGTCATCTTAGCTTTTCCCTCCCCCAGCCTCATCCTTATCTCTCAGATAAAGAGCAGACAAGCCAACGATTATCCCCTATCTGGAACCGATGACTAATCTGTCTACCACTAGCGCTTATCCGGCACCATCGCCAAGGTACCCCAGACATTCCCGCTCTTAATATCTTCCTCTCCACCGTCTCACCCGCCACTCCAAGCTGTAGCTATCCAGACCAGCCAGGTCACATTAGCTGCCTCTGTAGGGTCACCTAGCTGCATCCACAGAGACCAGGAAGGCATGGATGCCTGGGGTGACCCATCCCACCTAAGCTCAGCTCATCCTTAGTCCCCCACCAAGGCCTCTGTGACAGATTAAGATAGAGACAAGGCTAAGCAAGATGCACGAAGTGGCTGCCTTTTTCTGGGGTTCCCAGGGCTACCTCGGCACTCGCTGCTCACACGTAGCATTGGCAACAGGAAGCCCAAGCAGCGAGGGAAGAAGCGCGCAGCTAAATAAAACCTCCTCCTCCCACGCAACACATTGAGCACTTCGCACGTTAGGGTTCGGGCCGCAGCCAAATTAGTAACGTGCCTCCCATGCCGCCAAATAAAACCCAAATTTGCTTGTAAATGTATTTTGCTCCGCTATAAAAGATTCAGAGAGAGTGTTGTAATAGCAGATTCCCACACGTGCAATGCAACCCCGGCAGATAATGGGCTGCCCAATTACGCCAGGGAGCTGGATAAACATTTAAGAGCAAACAACGGAATTTGTGCTGGGTTTAAATATTAATGGCAGGATTTGTCCACTTCCCCCTGCCAATGTTCGCACTGTGGGGGCTTCGGCAGCGGCATGCCGTGACGCAGCCGATGAGTGATTCCATGTCTCGGCTCCAAAGGAGCAGGGAACGGCATGTAAAACAGCCCGGCGCCTGCGTAACACATTTCTCATATAGCAGCCTTCCTGCTCCAAAGAGCCCTGTTTCAGATGTGCCGGGTCTCGGTCCTGCCGGATCCAGATTTAAGGAAACACCATTGCACATCTTGAGTGGACAGAGTGTTTCACCAGCCCCGTTTGCACCGGTTGTAGAGACTGAGATAAAAATGCAATCCATCACACTCCAGGCAGAACCCCCACCTCGCTGCAGGCTCGGCGTTAACTGTTTGATAACCAAGTGACACTTCTCCAGGTGGATGCAAAGGCTGAGAAACAAGGGTTGGAAAAAAATCTACAAATTAGGAAACAGAGGCAAGCCACGCACGGAAAATTCCACGCCTTGCTCAGGAATCAGCTGCCCAACACAAAGAAAATGAAAGGGACTCCTGGACTGGAAAGGAGCAGGTTTCCAGGGCTAAGGAGGTGGTGGGACCTCATGGGTCATGCTAAGGCATCAGTGCATCCCCAAGCCAACCTCCTAAACCCAAGAAGGGGGGGATCTGTCAGCTGGGAGGCACAGGAAGTACTCCCAGAGCATCTCACCCAGAGCAGGAGCAGTGACACAAAGAAAAATGGATAATTACTATTTTTAAGCAGTGCCTGGAGCTGATAAATTGACGGTAAAAGCAACCAGGGATGTGGGTGGCCACTCCAGCATCTCCCTCGCAGTCGTCTTGGTCAACTGTGCCCAGCACCCGCCAGTGGCTCAGGGTCTGGCCACGCTGGCCCCGGGGTCAGCAGTGCCAGGGAGGTTCTGCCAGCCGGCTAAGCCGCAGCCGCCCGGAGCAGCGCTGGCTGTCATGGCAGCAGTTCACAAGGGCCATCTCATGACTGCACGCGGTGGTGTTGCTGAATGCCTCCGGGCTGCCTCTCCTGCGTCCAGAGAGAAAACAGACGCGAAGGAACAGCTCGGGGCAGGGGGTGGGGAGGACACGGACAAATAAACAAACAGCAGAAAACCTCGGAGAGAAAATAACCAGGCACCAGAAAGGAATTGAAATGAACTCTAACGAGGGATTAAAAATAGCAGCAAAGCAAGAAGTCAAGCTCTGCCAAGGCTCCCGGTTCGTTTTCAAGGGGAGGCAGGTCGGACGGAGCCTCCAGGGCAGTCTGAGGATTCACACCCATCTGACAGTGATGGGGCAAGTGAGGCTGGACCAGCTCCCAGCACGGTGGCTGGGAGCTCTCTGGTCCAACTGGTACCAGCATTGGGTCTAGTCATATTTGGAGCCACCTGTCAAGAACCACACGTGCTCTGGGGTCATTCAGCAACACCAGCGGTTCTGCAAGACATGTGGGAAGAGCCTCCAGCAGAGACATCCTCTCCAGCACTCAGGTGTGTTATCTTCCCTAAAATTCACATCAGCTCAGGAACATGAATCCCCTGGAGACATGACCTTCTCCTCCTCCCCTACAGGAAGGCAAAATTTCAAGTACATTTACCAGTGCTGCCCTCCAGATGCTGTCATGAGATGACCTCAAAGTTAAAGATGACCTGAGGACTCCTCAAACCTTAGCTATGGCTCAGTGTGACAGGACGAGCAGGCGGGGACTTCCTGCATGGCCAGCTTGACAGCTGACTTGCTGTGTAAAGGGAGCAAGATGGGCCAATGGGCGAAGGACAGTATTAGCCTAGGAGTTGAAGGAAGCGCTCAGGGTGGTCAAGGATACATCCAGGATACAAGTGAAAAGATGAGGCAGAGGGCTCCTTATGGCTTTTGCATAAGTAGATTTGGTTTTCCCATGGCAAAGTCTGAGGAACCATTCCCAGTAAGAGTTTTCCGAAGCTCCTCTCCTCCAAGGAAGCTCCTGAGATCCTGCAGGATCACAGAGGCCCCTTGGTGATTCATACCAACTCTCCGCTGGCTTGTCCTCAGAAGGAGCTGTCCCTGGCACTGCAAGACAGTGAAGGTTTTACAGCTTTTCCCACTTCTGGCTCAGAAGATCATCCCAAGCCTTTTGATGGCACCAGCTGAGCACCACAGATACTGCGTGACTCACTGGCGTTTCTGTGGGGCAGACAGATCACCCTGACCACGTCTCCTGGGCTGAGGACAGCATTCTCACTGCCATACCCAGGCGTCACTCGAGCAGGGCCAGTTACTGAGCTACCAACACCAGGCCTGCCAAAACCTCCTGCTCCTTACCCAAGAAAGGGGAAGATTTCACGATGAGGCAAGATACCACCAAGCCCCGAATCTTCTGGGCCCACAGGCACTGTCAGTCCTCAGAGCTGCCCCTCCTGTCTTTAAGCTTCTAATTAAAGATTTTAATGACCACTGTCTCTGGTCCTGCAGTGGTTTCCATCAGCCTCTTCTCCTTTCTTGACCACAAACTGCTTCTGACCTCAGGAAGACTTTGCCTCCAAAGCCCAGACCAATCAGGCTCAAAGGATGTGTCTGATACAACAGCTTTTCTTCTGTACACCCTACACTGATTCTGTCTTCCTCTTAACATAAATTCAGATCACTTCCTACAAGCGTGAACCAAAACATAAGACGAGATGAATGATACTTCCCAAGTCTGCTGCATGGCTTGAACCCTGCACACTCACTGCTGCTGGGTGTTGGATCCACGCCGCAAGAGCAGGAAACTCATGCTGCTGGTTTTCATTCTGTCAGGACTCCTTGGTCCTCCTCAGTTCCCCCTCCTCCACACTGCTTGCTTTTCCCCCTGAAATCTCCCTCCCCACCTACAATTCCCATTTCAGCTCTTTTTCACAGCCTTGCCCTCTCTGATAACTCCTAGCCCTCTCCACAACACTCTACTGCACCAAAACAACGACTCTCTGTTCCTCATTTGCACCTCAAAAGGATGTATTTGACACATTCTTCCCATGTTTCATGCTGTTAGAGCAGGGATAGCCCCAGTGGCAAAGCTGCAGCTGTCCCCAGCACAACCCACCATGGCTGGTGGCCCTGAGCCACCTTCTTTGCTCGCATTTCCCTGAAGTCAGGTTGGCCCCACAGCAAACCAACACGAGCCCTGGGCTGATGCTCTCAGAATGGAGGGATCAGGGTGCCCAGGTGGCCGCTCAAGGTGCTGCTCGCTCCATTGGAGGCCCACACATCAGATCCAAGCATTGCAGCCACAGGTCCTGGCTGCCCCCAGGAGCCACCCCACCAGGAAATGCCAAGCAGCCACGAGTCGCATTGCCGGAGCAATGACAACCGTGCAGCCTTGCTCTGCCCCGGACGGTCAGGCCACTGATTTTGTCCCCAAGCAGGAACGCGCTCAAGAGAGGGGACACAGCAGCACCAAACCCCACCCTGGTCTCCTCACTCCAGCTGCCACTTGAGACGCCGAGCGTGGAGGCGTCAGACACGTGAGACGCTCTCGCTATGAGCCTGCTGCCCTTTGCAGCCAGCCACGAGAGCAGAAACGTGACCCACTTGAGCAGGCAGAGGTCAAGTGGGGAGCAGAGCGACAGGCACACCCAGGCTCTCTGCTCAGATCGAGTCCTTCGAGAACACGGCAGCGCCTTGGCTGCGCTCCGAGACTCCATCATTACTGGAGAGTTTGCATTTCCTTCTAGGAAGGCAGCCGGGAAGATCGGCATGCAGCGCACAGCCCGCGGCTACAGGCTCCTGCGAGGAACAAAGCTCTGACGGCTGAGACCAGCGCAATGTCAGACAATAGCCTGTAATTTTCTTTGCTGTTCAGGAGCTGCAGGGGGAGAAGGAGCAGCCCCGAAAGCCTTATTTTGCAAACCCGGACAATACCCTAGCACAAAGAGCATTCCCCAGCTAGCTCAGAGTGCTCTCGAAGTGCAGAATTGGATCCTCCCTCCCATGCACATCCATGTTCCATCAACACAGAAGGAGCAGTCCTTCGGGTGACCAGAGGCAGGTGGGGAAGACCTGATGCTGAAGCTCAACAGACCTCTCCTCAGAAGAAATGGGGGGAAAAAAGAAAGGATTTCTAGAGAGGTTGCTCTTGCTCCAAGGTGTAATAACCTCAGGTGTCCAGTGCATATACTGGGTTACTGTTTGGGCTGGAGAGGTTGGCCTGCCAAAAGCCACCTTGGCTTAACCCCAAGGCTAACAAAGGTGTGACCCCAAGAACCTGAACTAGACGCAGCCAAGAAATGCACACATAAGCCCATAAAGCTCTGTGTAAAGCACACCCTGAAGAAGTTAAATTCCCAGGATCAGCAAACCTCTATGAATTCATGAACTGCAGCTGGGATGGGCACGATGTGGGGGAAAAATATGGATCCATTTCAACTGGAGCTTCCAAAACTGCTCTCATATAGGCAGTCCCTCACGTCTGCACCCCTTTTTCACTCTGGGCTTGTGGCTCAAGTAGCTGTGCAACGCAGTTGCAACTGTGGCTGTGCTTCACCGTCTGGGCAAGGCCAGCAAAGCTTGCAACACTGTACAGGATCAAGAGCCAAAGCCTTGGACATCACTCTGAACTTGAACACAAGGTTGTTTGAGCCTTCCTTTTCACAGGGCACAAGATCCACGAGTTTTAGATCATCTTTAGATCATCTCATCATCCTAAGGCTGATCTGCATTCTACCCCAGGCTGAGACGAGGCTGTTCTCCTGTTTGCAGACGTGTTTACTTGCTTGTGACCCTGGCTAGGCAGCCACATGGGTGTCAGATAGGTGCCACCTTCTGCTGCATAAGTCAACGCATCTCTGTCAGCTCAAAATCACATGCTGGAGTGTGTGAATTTGCACAAGTCTGAAGGGATGGAGGATTTTTGCCTTGTGGTTTTTTTTAAACCACTTGTGAAAACAAGAGGCAGATACTGAACTGGAGCCAACATCTGTATCTTTGTAAGATTCTCCATCACCAGCCTTTTGCTGACTCTAGAGCAATAAATATTCAGAGCCTTAAAAGCTTTTCTTCAGTCTGCTTAGGAGAAAGCAAACTCAAACAATGGCCAAGAAGGGATCTTGCCCAACCTCAGCTTCAGTGGATCAGCATAGGGAGGGAATGGGCATCACCAGATTCTTGCAGTACCACAGCTCCTCATTCTTTTTTAATACCAAAAAATGAGGAACTGTCCTGAAAAGCCAGTAATTTAGAGCACAACTGCACAAGCAGCAGATGAGGCCCAGCAGAGAAGACAAAAGCCTCTTCCCCAGAGTAGAAGCAGGAGCAACCAGATAGGAGAGGAAAATATCTACAGTGGAGGTGGGCCTCTGGCCTCACCTCTACATGTGGATTCAACCATTTTGGATCCTATTTTAGGCCGCATATGGGGCTTTTCATCTTCGAAGCACTTAACAGGCATGTGTTAATCCCTGCAACACCCTTCCATAGCAGATAAGTGTTTATTATCTCTACTCCACAGCTGGTGGGACAGGCACGATGGAGAGTGACTCACTGTTGTAGACCCTGGGCAACTTTAGCTCCTGGCTCCTTGGAAAGACACAGTGAGAGTGCCCGGCTTGGGCTGATGAAGGGAGCCCCAGGGCAACTCCCCAGGGAGTCTGGGCCACCTCCTGGGCCAGCAGGCAACAGGAGCAGGGCTGCAATGGGCACTGTCACCCAGTCAGTGCTATTTATGGGAGGAAGTCAAAAACATCTTCCAAACACAAAGCCCCAGGACACAGCTCTAGTGCCTTTGTGAATGGGTTAGAACCGCGGTGTTCATTTATTACGAGTAAATTAACACCCATGGAGATAAAACTTTAATCTCCCACTGGCTTGACTGCATCTGACTTAGCAACATGCAGGGTTGGGCTGACAGTGTCCCCACATGCTGGAGGAGCCACATTCCCACTGCACTTTCTGCTCCTCAGGCTCCCTGCACCACATTCTTCCATGTTGGGGACTAAACACGATCTCTTCCTCCACCCTTGGCTTCTCCATCCTACTCTGGGCTGTGCCTTGTGCACCATCAGTCTGTCCGTTCTGCCTTTTCTTGCCTGTTGAAGTCAGTGTTTGACAGAGAAACACTTAAAGAAGAACAGAGGGCAGAACAGGCACACATGGCCAATGCCACCATGGCCCAAATACTGCATTAGCATCAGTTTGACACTGCTACCTCTCTCTGTGCAGCAACAGACAAACACTGCAAACTGAAGGTCACCACCGTCAGTGCGAAGCTACCATCCCAGCCCCAAGGCACAGAATGAATCAGTGCTGAGACACCCAGGGAGGAGGGAGGAATTACCATGCACTTGGTTGATCTCCGAGTTGGACGACAGGATCTCATCAGCCAACTTCTGGGCAGTGGGCAGCACCTCGGTGTGGTGTGCGGTGATCAAATACTGAACAAACTTCTGGAGCTGGTCCCTGTTCATCTGGAAAAGGGTCTCTGAGATGGGAAGACGGAGTTTGACCTGGTCCGGCTTGCGGATCCTATACAGTGAAAGCGCCACAACGTGGGCACAGTAAAAAATGTCCTTGTTCCCACAGCCACATGTCACTGAGGTGATTTTGCAGCGGTCAAAGCTGATGGCCACCTTGTAGGTCATCTCTGGTTCTGTTGCAGTTGCCGGCTCTGTTACCGTCCCGCTGAGGTGGAACCCTGGAGAGGGAAAGGAGAAAAGGGAAAGGCCACATTAGCTTCCCTCTGGCCATGACCACCCATACAAACTCTGGAAGAAGGTCATGGCCAGCCAAGGCTGCTCATGCACTGCTATGTCAAGGACTGCAGGCCATCGTGGTGGCTTACACCCAGCAATACCCAGCCCATGTATGAACACACTTCCACACAACACACACATGCAGCCGGACTTGTTGGTGAGTTTATTTTACAGCCAATCCCGCAGGGGAAGAGCAAAGTTGCTCAGTTCCCTTTTGTTTAAGAGTCTCTCAGGCTGTTTCTCTTCTGGAAGTCATCTCCATCCATGCCTCCCTCTTGCTAAATTTGCAACTCACATGAGCGAGCACTGGCAGAAAAAAAGCCAGGTTTTCTTTTCTTTGATGAGGTAGACAAAAAAAACCACAAATGAAATGCAACACAACCCCAGCTTTTGTGCCTCAACTAGGCAGAGTGCTCCAGGGCACAGCCACAGCCCTGGAGTTCCGTGCAGGAGGAGCAGGAGCAGTGCACAGCCCGAGCCGCAGGCTGCATGGAAACCATTTGCTCCTTGAGCTCCACAGTATCTGCTGCTCCTCAGTGAGCTCTTCAGCTTTCCCCAAAGTTCTGCTGCCACCTGTCAGTGCAACTCTTGTGTTAGGCTGCAGGAACAGCCCAAATTGCTTATACAAACATTATGGTGGTCCTGACAGCCCCCACCATGGGGTAAGGGGCTGCAGTGCCTGTGAACATAAACTGTGAAAAAAAGTCTTGACAAGTCCCAAATGCATGTGAGGAGGATGAAACAGGTTCAGAAGGTCCTCTGGGTCCAAAAGCTGGAATGTACCAGGAAAGGAATAGATAGTGAGTGAGAAAAGACTGGATACTCATCAACCTCAGTCTGAAAGTCCAAGTAGCCCTTCCCAGAAGTCAGCTGCCAAGGAGATTCGACACCAACACTCTGCACTTGCCCAGCTGCCTGGAAAAGGGACATCACTGTTTCCCCCACTCATCCTCCTCGTTCCCCCAAGGAGAATGAGGTTGCACCAGCAGGTTAATTACCATGGCTGGGGCCACCCATGTGGCTATGTCAGAGCCTGGCATGGTACCCAGAATCCAGCGCCTTGCCCTGCCTGTCCCAGCCCTGCTCCCTGAAGAGGATGCTCACTTTTCTCTGTACCACTGCAACCTTATTAAGCCCATGTTTGTACAGAGGTCCCTGTGGAGCCTCCTGTCCCCCCGGAGAAGGCGGCAGACAGCTGAGAGCCCTACAATTAGCGACAGAAAAGGAGAAAAGGGGTGTGTGTGTGTGAAGATTAAAATACATTAACTGCATCAAACCCTTGTGTGTTTGCCAGCTCTCACAAAGGCTTTCCGAGACAAATTCTACCAGAGGTTTTTAATAAATGGCATCAAAACCAGCTATTCACTGCCAGTCTCTTTAAAGCTGCGCCAAAACCCACATTCAAATCTGATTAAGCATCAAGGAGGTCTGCTTTTACTTTAGCACAGGGGAGGGGAAAAGCAGACCTGTTCTGCTCCCATCGCCCAAAACGCACTCCACAGGGCCAGTGGTGCAGGAGGGAAGGGACAGACAACCCCGCGCTACCCTCTCGCTCGCACGCTGCCGGGAGTGGAAGTGCAGCTGCAGAGGTGCCGGGCTCGGCGCCGCGGGACCAGCGGCCAGCGGCTGACGAGCCCCCTGCTCCACCAGAGTCCACCCCCCCGCAGCCAAACGATATAAATCCCGAGGATAAACTCCGAAGTGTTTATGTTCTACCACTTCTCTGGTCTGCGATGCTTGGCAGGCAGCTCCGACTCACTGCCAGTTTCTTCCCAGTTTACTTTTTCTGCAAGTTAAAAGGATTGAAACCCACGTTCCTGAGCAAGAACGTATGTATATATGAGTACGTACACCCATAGGCACATACAGACATATATAAAACCCTCCAAGACAAAATACTAGCCATAAACAATGCCTTGAAATGCTTACTTTAGCAGGATCATGGGCCAGACTCCACTTGGGGTAACGGGTGCAAGGCTTAAGGAACACATCTAACCAAACTACCTATTTCAGACAGGTGTAAGTATGAAAAGACATCAATCATGGTCTGAATCTGGCCCCCCAAGAGAGGAAACTTTTACAGATACTTTTCAGGCTGCTCTCAGACACCTAAAAAACTGTGCTCCCCAATCCGCTGCAAGAGTTGGTCCTTGCAGCTTGTAGCCAGGGCCTGCACATCCAACAGGACCATTCAGTGTGTCAGCAACTGGCAAGTTCATCTGGCACTTGAGCCCTAAGTCAACTCTTGGTTTAGATTTTAGTCATAGTGGCAGCAGGTCTATTTAAGATAAGCTAGGAACCCTATGCAAAACATTTACCAAAAGCTTAGTCAGAAATTAAACACGGTGAGAGGGAAGCTGGCAGGAAGAGCCATTATTTGGGAATATTTACATTAATGGGAGGGCAGCCTGCAGCTGCCATGCTGTGTCTTGCTCTGCAGCCAGGTCTGCACTTCAGCACCCACACCAGCACACCAGCTCAGCAGCAATGGGTATCACTGTCCCAGAGAAAAGTGGTGGTTGCAAAGTAGGTTATGGCGTGGTTACTCCATCATCTGCCAAAGCACTCACTCCTGGTTCACACAATCCCCTGACGCTACAGTCACCAAGAGGCTACAGATCACCCTGGAGAAGAACAGCTGTCACCATACCCTCCTCCCCATACATCATGCATCCTAGAAGGCCATGGGGCAGGTGATACCAGTACTCCAGCAGAGAGAAACAGAAGCCCTGGTTGCAGACACAAGGTCTGGACAGCGTTGAGAGCTAAAACATACTCTCCTCCATGTGTCCCCCTGCACGTTTCAATTTAAGACATTCTTACAGTCGAGTGCTTATCTAGGACTTCATCTTCAGTTCCTTAACGTAAGCTAACTTGGTGTTTGATTTGCTGCCAGGAAAGTGACACTGCCAGGGCTTGAAAAGCATGGAAAAGAAATAATCTTTGTAACTACAGACTCATTACACCCCATTGGAGCCTAGCTTTGTCCCAAGAACAACGTTGCCTCCTCCCTGCCCCAGAACAGCCTCCTCTACTTTTACCAACGATGCTTCCCAGTGGATGTCTCTCTGATCCAGGTTGCAAAGGAGTTGAATGTTCATACCTGCCCCAGAAAGAACACAGAAAGGTGCCACAAATGTGGTACATAGGACATGATGAGCACATCTTCCTAATCCCACTTACTCATCAAACAGTGACAGAACACTGGTGCAAGGACCTTGTATTAGAGCCACAGGACACTGTGCATCTGATTTAAATTAAAAAAGACTCTAAAAACATCTTCTGGGGGTTCCTGAGCTCCTCAGCTGGGAACACTTCCCTCTTTGGAGCTGATAAACCCCACAGGCTGAGAGGAACATGGATCCACAAAACATCCTTGGCTCTGAAACGGC